AGCATCAATGCTTTCATTCCAGCCAGGAAATACCAAGTAAAACTGTATTCATCTCCTTGGTTCTCACCTGCTTGCACAGCCGCCATAGCCCACAGGAATCACTTCTTTTGACTGTACCAGAGTGATATGTCTGACTGCAACAGATGTCTTTTTGTCTCTGCTTGTAAAGAGTGCAAGCATGTCCTCAAGGAAACAAAGTTACTATTTGCTGATAGAATGAAACAACGTATAGCATCTTGCAAGTTCGCTTCTAGAGATTATTAGCGGCTCTGCAAGAGTGTGCTGGACAACAGCAAATCCTCAATCCCTCCTCTATTCAATCAATTCAAAGGACTAACATCTACAGCAGATAAGACTGAATGCTTTGCTTGTAAATTCTCTTCCAACTCAACACTTGACAATCCCCCCCTCCCTAGAACTGAAACTATACTTAGTTATATATACTTAACCCTGCTGATGGTCTCGGACTTCATTTCTAAAATAGACTCCCATAAGGCAAGTAGAGGTGACAGGATACCAGCCATCGTTCTAAAAAATGTGCTCCTGAGCTGGCTCCAGTTCTCTTCAAACTATACAACTATGACCTCACAGCTTCCTGATTTTCAGCTTATTGAAAGTTGTCTCTCTCAAGAAATCTGGAGAACCTTCTGACCCCTCTAACTACTGCCTTATTAGTCTTCTACTGATCTCCAGCAAAGTCTTAGAGGCCTTAATCAATGCCAAAGTGATTAAGCATCTTACTACTCTCTGATAAACAATGTTGATTCTGTTTTGCCCAGTCTACCGCCAATGTGTTTACAGCCATAACTGTGTATATATATATATATATATATATATATAAATAAAGCTCTTGATAATAATGGCAAAGCTCGAGTTGTGGCTTTAGATATCTTGAAGGTATTTGACAGTATTTGGCATGCTGGTCTCCTATGTAAGCTTCAGGGCTACAGTATTACTTGATTTAATCCAATCATTCCTATCTAATTGGGAAATGAAGGTCGTTTAGAAACTGGCTGTTCCCCAAGGCAAAGCACTTGCTTCCCTGATAACTACAATCTTCAAAAATTTAAATGCAATGTCATTTGCCATCTTCCTCAATCCCAACTACACTCACTCTTTTCCCTCACTTTTACTCTCCGTAACCCCACTCCTGCCTTGCTCGGAGTGAAATGCTTAAATAAAAAAAAAACAAAAAAAACAAAGCATTAAACATTTTTATTTCTAATCATCGTAGCATGTGAGAGAGTGAACCGAACACTTCTGCTTTACTTACTATGTTGGTAGAGAACACGGTAGCACTTGTAACATGTTACTCAAGACTGACACACTCTAGCAAAGTATCTCTTTTTAGAACACTTGTTGTTACATATGGCTTCGCAAGCTGGACGATTATTTCTCTTATATTTCCTAGTAGTATCCCAAGGCTTGTAATTATCATCTACCACTATTGTTTTAGATATTAATTTTATTGTCTTTGGCAGAAGGGTTATAACCCATCTCTTCCTGTGCACGTGCTCTAGGCTCACTTTCTGTCGATGTGCAGCCGCTCAGTTGAGACTCTGCTTGTTCTGATATCTCAATCTTCACACAGCTATGGGATAAAGAGAGTTATACAGCTTCCAAACTGGTTAGGAATAGGTGCCAGTATAAGTCATTGATTGTTCAGTCTTAAAGTGTTGTGATTTTTACTGACAAAAAAAAAAGTTGTCTTTCTTTTAGTTAAGAAGTCTTGGTAAACATTTTGATGATTGGAAATAAAGTCAAGCTCTCAAAGAAATAATGCCAGTTTTGGTTAAATATAGATGATTTAATGAAGGTAGATAAAATAATTTATAAATTTAATACATTTAGTATCTATTAACAAAACGGATCAGAACGCGGCCACTTGGAATTTTGATCTGTGTTCAACAAGGTTCAATCAGAAATTCAAGGGGGGCTGTTGATCCATCTGTCTCTCTTGCATCCTCAAAAATCAACCTGAATTTATACATAATTCTCCCCCACCCACATATCAAACTGTTCGCATGCTAAAATAACTCAATTTTACATTGTGTTCTTTTTTTTTCTTTTTTAATCCCAACTTTAGACAAACAAATCCTATGCTTTGATTTTGACTACAGAGTTCATTTCTTTACATTGCTACTGCAACAGTTGGACCAACCTATCTAATGGCTTTATTAAGGAAAGGTTCTTTCAAATACATTGATTTTGATTCAGTCAACTGCTCTGGTTCATTTCAAATAATGAGAGCCATAAATGAGAGCCATCCAAAAGTTACGTGTATCAAAAGACTCACCTACATAAGCACTTGATTTCATACTGTGTAAATGGCACAAAATGGCACTTAATACTTTGCAAGTTATTTAAAATCAGGAAATATTTTAGATTTTAAGATCTAACAAAAAAAAAAAAAAAAATTTTTTTTAATGACTTAGTGATACAAATCTTATTAACTCATGGAGGTGGGGAGAAGAAGATTCATGTCTTTCTCAAGGATATTTATGTGATTATAACAAACTCAATGGGAATTGGAACTCAGTTCTCCAATTAACAATTCCAAGCCATTATCCATTACACCACCTGAACATCCAAGTTTACAACACCTGCTATTCCTAAGCAGTCACCCATCTGGGTACTAACCAATTAGAAATTGCTTAAATGACAAGTGTATGTGACTTGCATTACTGGAATGATCTGCATGCTGCAATATATTAACCAGCAACCAAAGTGAATATTGATTAAAATGTCATGGTAACAATAGAAGGAATAGAATTCAATTGTTCAAATGACTGAATTCTAACTACTGAAGATTACAGAATATAGTTTATTATACTTCTGGTACAGCCCCACCCCTAGCATGTAAAGTTCTAGAAAGAAATCATTTATTTCAGGTACAATTCTAATAGAATTGAACATTTTTGCAAGCATTTTTATTTTTCTGTCAAGTTCGGTTTTGAAAAGGAAACTAGAAAGACAAAAAAAAAAAGAAAAAAAAAGAAAAGCCAGACAAGATTAAGAGAGGAAGAATCAAATTTCAAATAAAAACAAAAAGACAGAAACATTTTCAGTCTTTCAATTCTTTTATTTTCCACTTTTTTTTTTTTCTTTTTTAATATTTTATTTATTTCCTAAATAAATATACTTTGTCATTTCATTTTTCCCCCCACCTTAAAAAAGAAAAATACAAAATCAATAACCAGTTCCCATCTAATCATAGAAAAATATTGCTTGAAACTGGTCAGTTGATAGCTGTAAGCTAGCAGAGTTTTTTTTTTTTTTTGTAGGGGTGGAGAGTAATGTTTTGACATGTGGGAGGAAGATTTAATGAAAATGAAGAACTTGAGCAGATTTCTTTTCTCCTCTCTCTTCATTAATTTGTTACATAGGCCTTATTTTCAGAAGTTAGTTCACAGATATTATTTGAAGGGGAATAGAATATGGTGTTACAAAAAAATACATTACCGGGTTTTCCTTTATGGATACACACATTACCATTAACAGCCACTCCAAAGATAAGAAAATTCTAAGTTACACTGGGGAACATTCAAAACAAGCTGAAGTATCTTATTTTTATAGTGCAATTCATCTTTAACAACATTAGAAAGTCAATGAAACACAAAAGAAACTGTCTCATTTGTAACTTTCATATATTTTCAGCTCTTATGAATGTTTTTCAGAAGGTTGAGGAGAAAAAAAAAAAAAAAAAAAATTTAAGAAGTTTTAATAAATAAAACAGCTAAAAAGTTAACTGAAATTTTCAATTATTTTCAGATTGTTCCCCCCCAATTCCCCAATTATCCTTAAGACCTAGAAGACTTCAGTTATTGGTAATTTTAAGATTGGTTTTAATTTTTTTTTTTTTTAAAAAACGTTTCTAGAAAAAATAGACAGCATGGAAGGCAGAATTGGAATGAAATTACAATTTCTTTCAATTGATGATTTTGAGAGAAAAAGTCAATTTTAATTGCACCAAAATTTTACTCTGATGAGTTTTCTGTTTATTACTAATAATTGTAATTTATGTGTAACTAATGCAAAAAAACAAAAATAAAAAATAAAATCTTAAAATTTACAAGCAAAAGAAATTATAAAACAAGCAAAAAAATGGAAAATTATGAAGTTTTACAAAATCTCAAATGTTAGAATGCAAATACATATTTAAAGAATCTTAATTTTAACAATAAAAAAATTAAAATAATTTTATGGACCAAGATAAATTCTATGAACCAACTGATTAAAAAAAATTCTGTTTAAAAGATTGAGATTAATTTTTGCAGGATTATTTTAAATAAATGAATGTGGGAAATTTAGCATTTTCCCATATATATATTTAAAATTATATATGCATATTAGCTAAAATCATGTTGCTTGTTAGAAAAAGTCTGCAACTGACAAAAGATAAATTCCTTGAAAGCACTTTTGTGTATATAAAAAGATGATAGTGGCCTTTTCCCCCTTAGGTGACATTTCATTTATATTGATTCAATAAATATCACAGTATGCAGGTTTTGGTTTTTATGTTGTTGCCAGTTTTCGTTTTTCTTGGTCTTTTTGCATATCATGAACAGACATTTTTCCAGGTTGCTGAAATGTGGGGGGGGGGGTAGGAAAAATGCTCGTGACATTATTTATATGCCTTTTCATAATGATAAAGGTTAACAGAAGAGCAAGGGAGATAACTAAGACTTCCCAGAATAGACAATGGTGAAGAGAAAGTTAAAATTTGAGTCCCCAAAAGAAGTTTTAGAAGCGCTTGCTATAATAATAATAATAAAAAATACAACAAACTTGGGTCAAATGCAAATGAAAGATAAGCTGCCACTGGATTAGACATCTCTCACAGAGTTCCAGATTGTTTTCCAGGTACAATTTATTGGCACCAAGTGTTTGTTGCAGCAAGATTTTTAGGAAAGAAATGAAATTCTGCTATTTGGATTAAAAACTATATAAACACAAACATTATATTTGAAGGGAAAAATGTTTTATGATATGCAAGATGGTTACTTCAACTGTGATAAAGTATCCACACCCTTGTAGGTAGGAAGAAAAGAGACAAGGAGGGAGAAAGAAGTGGTGGTGAGGTTAGTCATGTATATCACATACACACTAAAGAGAGGGACAAGTCCAAGGGTTTTAGAGAGTATATCCTAAGCAATAAGACTGGCAATTAGATAATATATCTATCATAGTAGATGGCAACAGTTAACATGACATCTACAACATGCAAATCTAAGCTGGATGTCCTATAAGAGCAGCAGATATATGCTTATCCAGAATCACATTCAAGTATTGCACAATGACCTTGTCAGACCAAGATATTGGGTTAGGGAAGACGCCGCCGCCTTCAAGGTAGCCAAGGTGTCCGCCATGAGTGGTAACAGCCATTAAACATTTGTCATTGTTCACTGAAGAGAGAGAAATAAAAGAGAAACGGTGAAAAGAAAATGCAAGTGCCATGATTTGACATTTATATTTCAGATATTCAATAACTACCAGAATATATTTAAGGTTAAAACTTTTTAATCTTACCACAGAAAAGGTTTTATAATGTAACACATTGACATTTTGGGGATGAATATATATATATATATATATATAAACATTAGCAGTAATTATTATATACTAGCTTAAATGCTGCACTCCATATGGACTTTTAAGCTGCAGAAGGCTAAGTGGGCCTCTGGCACAGAAGTAAATCTCTGGTCCAGCTTAGAAAACAAATGATAATTTTGAAGAAATAACTGAATTCCTAAATTCACTTCATGGAACTTCAAAACTTCACTTCAGGCTAGAAGTCCAATTCCAGGCAAAAAAAATTGATTTGGGCTGAAATTCTAATTCAAGCCAAGAATTGAGTTCTTCAAATCACAAACTGTGGAACTACGAAACCTCTCACCTTAACCAGGATTCCTTGGCATTTTGAAGAAATAAAATTGATTTCCACAATTCAAAATTTGAGATATTTTAAACTGAATTAAAAAAAAAAAAAAAAAAATTCAAAAGTTTTTGCATTATTTTAAACTCAATATAAATTAAAAACTTAAAAATCTTCCCCCCCAGTTTTAAAATTTGAATTTTTAAACTGTTCCCTCCTCATCTGGATACAAATCCCAATGCTGGATGTTCAAGCAACAGATGTAGGGCAAATTTTCAATCTCAGGGTCAACCAGATTCCAAAAAACTTATGTCTATGTAAAGCAAGTGTGGCCAGGTTTAGAAGGGTTTCAGGCACATGGACAAACAGATTTTACCATTTATTTATTTAAAAAAAAGATAAACAAATTAAATTTCTGCCTCTATTTCTGGGATGAGTAGTTATTTACACTATTTACATGTGGACTAATGTCCTCGTTTTTATTGTTGCTATCACATTTCAACCATTGTGCCCTCTAGCCTTCACCAGGTGTATATCAATTCATGATAAGATGAAGACAATAGTTTGTATGTAAATAAGAAAAAATGAAAGATGTTTCAGGAGTTCCATTTTTCTTTTTAATTATATATTAAAAAAGCAAGAGGATACGATACTTACAAATGTTCATGAAGACAATTCAGTATTTGCTCATTTATAGATTTACCTCATCCTTAAGTTGAGCCTCCAAAGAGGAACAAAAATCATCAATGACTTGTGAGATTAGCTTTCTTAACCCGATTCTAGATGGCACCATAGATATTTACTAAACTGATTCCAGTCTGATCAGGGTCATTGATGTGAGAAACAAGTAGTAAATGACCTAATAAAATAATAGTTTAACGAGTATCTGATGTCAGGTGCCTCAGGAAACAACTACCATCACTAGAACAGAACAACAAAGAAACTGAACTACTTACAAGCATATTGTTTGGGGATCTTTAGTAGGTCTTCAGGAACCAAAGGATCATCGGCAGAATTCAGCAGCAGTAAAGGAATTTTTATCTAAGAAACAAAAATAATACAAAATCATCCCAAGTTACCCCACTACGCATTAATAGTTGATATAATTCAATATCATCTGATGGAACAATTTTATTCACCAAAAATATAGTAGTTTAATGAGATTCCTCTATATTAACACCTGAAAAGACTGTCTTCAATGGCTGCATTGTCACCATTGATATGGCTCGGTTTCATCAATCTGCTGTTCCTCTCCTAGCATTACCAAAATGTAATATTTTGGCATCACTTGGTGATGCTTTCAGTCTTCATGGCCATTGCATGTCAACATCAGAAAGCTGAAAGGTTAACAGATACAATGGGGATTTTGCCTGGTAGTTGTCATAATTTCAGGTGTAAGACTCTTGCAGCCATGGTAACTTCTTTGGCTAAAACTAATTTCTAGGAACAAACCTACAAACTTTGCTGATATCTAACAATGGATTTAATAAGTTGAAGACTTTACAAGTATATATGAATAAATTATTAATTTATATAGCCTAGCTGATGGTTTTTTACCAAAAAAAATTCTTGCAGTAATTGGCAATAGATGAGACCTCTTGTCTGAATTCATTTGTGATTGAAACTGGAGGAGGATTAAAACCAGAGATCACTTATCTTGTCATCTGGTATCTCCATTGTGTGTGTGTCATTCTGACTATTTGCTCTCATATATATATATATATATATATATATATATATATAAATTTTGAGCACCTCAGACATTGACAAACAAAAACACAGGGCCTCTCATGGATCATGGAATGTACCCATTCCAAATCCCATAACACAGGATATAAACAAATGAATTTGGAAAATTTTAGATCATAAATCATGGGTAGGTTAGGGAAGATCTAGTCTTACTAAAGCTACTTTCTTTATTTCGGGTTCAAATCTTCCTAGAGTCTTCAAATTTATTTCATGGCTTAATTATTTTTAATTTTTCACTCCCTTTCTGACACTTCATTAGCTTATCAGAGTTTTGTTACATAAAGTCATCATTAGGCTTTCTCGTGCATTAAAATGTTGAACCAGGGTTACCACCCTGTTATATTCATGCAATTGTATGATAATAGTAAAACATCCAATGGCCAACTCCAGAGAAAATGATAAAATACTTGCTGTGGTGAAATCAAGAGATCAATTTTTCAGATTTCATGCAAAAAAGAAATTTCTTGAAAATTAAGTTTTAATTAATCACTGGAATGGGTACTATTTTAAATTTGCATTTCTTGTTTAAAAATAAATTTAAAAGCATAAATTACAATGAAAGACTATTCCAACAGGCCTTAATAATTGAGAGATTAGTAAATATAAGATAGGAATATTGTTGGATGAGCTTAGTTTAACAAATACTTAAAAGGTTCAAGAAAGGAAAAAAAAAAAAACACTTACATTATCAAGATAGTGGATACAACTGCACCATCGATAATATTCTTGGACACTGGAAAACCCAGCGACTCTTCTGTCAAGGTAAAAAAAAAAAATTAGCTTAAGATCAGAAATATAGGCACACATTGAAGATCAAACACTACAATATGAATTATCTATGAGTTAATTAACCACTGCTTCAGAGAAAAAACAAAGAGAGAGAGAGAGAGAGAGAGAGAGAGAGAAGAAAAAACAGAGAGAGAGAGAAGAAAAAACAAAGGAGAGAGAGAAGAAAAAACAAAGGAGAGAGAGAGAAGAAAAAACAAAGGAGAGAGAGAGAAGAAAAAACAAAGGAGAGAGAGAGAAGAAAAAACAAAGGAGAGAGAGAGAAGAAAAAACAAAGGAGAGAGAGAGAAGAAAAAAAGATAAGATTACTGAACTGTTACATAATATCAGTTCTGTATGGCCGTTAATTCTGGACAATCTCTCTGAAGTGACTTGAAGCAACAGAAATGTCGTTCTACAGCAGAATGCTAAGAATACCATGGACCGAATATGTGAGCAATGATGATGGTGTAGAGACAATGGCAACAAAAATGGCATTTATGCTTAATATCAGGAAGAGATTGCTGAAATTTCAAGTCATAATGAGGAAAGACTTCTTGGAAAATTTGATACTCACAGGACAGATCGAAGGCAAGAAGTCCAGAAGAAAGCAACACACAACCTACCTGACAAGCTTGAGTAAATGTATAAAGGAGCAGGGTTTGAGGGGGATGGAAAAAAAAAAAAAAAAAAGACAATAGTTATTAAGAGCTACAAAAGCCAGAAATGCCTACATCCTGAAGAGACATGGCATATAGAAGATTAAGAATGGTGCAGAGAAAATTATTCAATTCAAATTATTTTTGTAACACTTGATGCTTCTATGTTCAAAAAGAGTTGTTATTTTTATGTACTGCTACAATAAAATCTATATTTTCTTTCAGAAAAAATATATATATATATATATATATATATATATATATGCATTTTTCTGAAAAAGAAAAAAAATATAATATATATATATATATATATATATATATATATAGATAGATATGCATTTTCTGAAAGAAAAAAATGTGTGTAAAGCACACTGACCTACTATAATATTCATCCAATTCCAGAAGTGTGGGAGACTTGAAGATGCGGTCTTCATCCAGTGCTCCATATTTGTTCTTTGCTTCATCGCTAAAAAGTATGTCTTTATGTTCTCGAAGTATAGATTTTTGGCGAGTTGTCAGCAACAGGAGGTAGGCGCTGCTTATGCTCAGGCTGTCAAAATAGTGAGGGACAGCACTGGAAAAGATATTAGAAATTTACAATGATTCATAAATTTTCCAAAAATGTTGGAGACAAGATTAAGTGCAAAATGTTATTTTTTTTCCTTTCATAAAAAACAAAAACAAAAAACAAATTGTATATTATCTCGTACACAAAAGAAATGTTCAGACCTTGTTACTCTACATACAGAAAATGTTATTAAATTTTAATTAGTTCATGAATTTCTGCAGATTATTTTTAAATGCATTCATTTTAGTCAAAATTTTTTTCAAACAGTTCTCATTTTTATATTGTCCCTGTATAGGAGTCAATTCCATGACAAACAGTAATACTTCGAAATGGGTTTGCAACCATGGAAAAACACTAACACTGAATTGTGGAATGCACAGTCAGTCCACTGTAGATCATGTCCACTTGAGCTTTCAACAACTGCTGAAAGAAAACTGCCTTTTTAAGCAAGTCTTTAAATACATGACAAACTCGTGAATATTCATCAGGTGGCATGGTATTATAAGGTCCACACTTTATCATTCCAAATGGGTTTTTATATGCAAAGCACACAAATCATTGATTAAACTGTTTTTTTTTTTGTTTTTTTTTAGATATCAGAATATTCTCCATTTCTTTCCAATGGCATGAACTCAAATTTTAAAGTGATTTTGGGTCATAAGTAGCAAAAAAATAAACGCCTAAAAACCATATTTAAAAGCTTTTGTTTTTTATAGTAAATCAGAGTAAATTTTGTCTAATGCAAAACATTAAAAAGAAAAAAAAAAGAGTGTCTGCAGATCTTTTCAGAACTTACAGATTAGCATCATAGCCTTGACAGATAGACAGACCACAAAGGAATCTGGATTGGTTCTCTCGACTCTCTCCTAAGTATTTCAATACAATATTAGCCCCCATACTGAAGCCCACAGCAAACATTTTGGTCCCAGGGTAGAGTCTCTGTAACTCTAGAGCAATATTGTGAAATTCTTCTGTGCTTCCTAGAAGTAAAAGAAAAACAGACACATAAAACAACATTGACATGTTAAATATTCTGAAAAATGAATGAGCCCATAGCTTGAATTCATTTATATTTTTGGGATTTGAAATCCATTGAGAAGTAAAGGCAAATAGATGGATTGGAAAAGAAAAAAAAAAAGAAAAAATTACACAAGTAAGAAAATAAGTTTTTCATGGCAAAATTGAAAAATTAAGTTTTAAATTAATTCCTGAAATTAATTTTTTCATTAAAATTGTTTTATGTAAATCAAACATTCTATTTTCTTTCACTACATTGTGAACTGATTATTTTCCTGTTCTCATGTTGCAAGAATACTCAAGATATTTTCCTGTTATTAAAAGAAAATTCAAAGTAAAAAATCCAGTTGAAAATTTTTAAACAATCTTTACAATTTTTTTTTTTTTTTTTAATATAAGAGTATGAAGATTATTTTAATTTTTTTCTATTTTAAAACCAGTCATCACATTTAAAATGCTTAAACCATTTGACAGTACAATCAGATTTTGTTTAGTTTTCTTCCAAATTTCCAAATTCTGTGAGCAGTTTTAGCAGCTTCAAGACCAAATATAAATAATGCATAAAAACTACCAGAATCTTAATACTTTTATCCAATGAGATATATTTTTTTTTATTTTCCTTAATGTTTAGTCATGTTCAAAAGTACTATGTCTAATTTTGGGAAGTACGTTTCCACCCGAATTAAGGTACTTAAAAACTATAAATATGATACAACACAGTGTGTGTATATATATATATATATATATTATAGTCTTTAGATGTGTATATGAAGTAAGCTTTGAAGTAAAAATTTGTACAGAAGAATATAAAAAAATAAAATAAACATTTGATATATCTCGTCATATTGCATGATGCAATGATGACTTATCCCTCATCAAAGAAACTTCTGTAACTGAGAAAGAACCAATGACATCACTGCAATTTGTATGCATAAAAACAAAAACACATCTACTATATAAAAAAAAGTTAAAGAAAAGGCTGAGATATTGAAAGATGAATGCAAGTTTAATATCACTAAGATATCTCATAAAATCTAAAGAGTCATGGCTATTTTGTAAGCAGGTTAATAGTGGATAAGGAAATTGAGCATAGAATAGACCGAGCTAAGGGTAGTTCAGCCCAACATTACAAATTGCTACAATACCAAAACATTGACCTAAAATTTCAATGTCATGTTCTTAAATAGCCTTGTCAGATTGAAACTTTCATATGGATGCCAAGCATGGCACCAAACTTATTCAGAAATATCTAAACTATCAGTTGTATACAACTGTTTTCTCAAATCAATGGTTAAAAATGGCTTCATGCGAATGAAGCTTGTAAGTCTTAGTAAGGAGCATCATTTTTTAAATCTCAGACTGACATGACAGAAACAAAGAACTGTTCTAAATAACAGAAACCACATCACTTGAGAAAGATGTTAATGTTCCACACTACTTCCATTATTACTAGAATGAGAAATAACTTATTGGATTTGAGAAACCTATTTCCCTTAAAAATTGTTTTTATAGAAAGATTTTATAATTTCATGTAAAAGTAGCACTGGCTGCTGAATGTTTCCTTATAAAGAAACATCTTGTATGACTTACTACAGAATTATTGATGCAACTGAGAAATTAGAAACTACTGAAGAGGTATACAGAATAGAGTATTACATCTGACAAGTCAGTTACAGAATAAGAGTTTAGTTGATAATAAATCATCTCATTTAGGAATTTCATTTAATGTGTCAAGGTATGAGACAAGTGAATGGTTGAAATTCAACATTTGAAGAAACTTTAACAGAAATGAAACAAAACAGATTTAACTTCTATTCTTTCAGCTGTAAAGGAAGAATTCTGATGCCTTGCAAAACCAGTACATCTTGTTTTTCTGGTCTTATTAATCTCTTCAGAAAAGAGTTCCTTAAAAGAGGCCATGAAGTGCTTTACAATATTTTATTTCTAAAAATGTTGTAATTTTTTTACTAAAATAAGACTGTCCTGGGTAAGACTATAAACTACATCCAACAGCAAAGCCTTTGATCAGAAGGTTTTGAGTTCCCAGGTTCACCCTAACCCCGCGTGGTAGTACTTGTTAGGGTCCTAGATATGGGCAAATAGTTAACCCCCAAACTGGGGTCAAAACACAATGAAAAAAATTTACCAGCTGTACATTGTTTTTGTAGGAAAAAAAAAATATTACCAGCAATAAAAATTGTTGGCATTAAATAACCAGTCACGGTTGATATGCTGTAAAACAAACCAAACTAAAATAAGATCTTTCCAATTTTACTCAAATAAGTAAGAACTATAAGAAACACCAAAATTTAGAATTTTTTTTTTTTTTTTTTTAGTTCATATGCAATTATTTTATTTTTTTGGTTAAAATCTTTGAAAAATATAAAATAATAAAAAAATCTTTAAAAAAAAAAAAAAAAAAAAAAAAAAAATTATCTAAGTTGAAAAATGAAAGAAAATTTTTGAGAGAACTGAAAACAAACAGGTTAAGATTAATTGGTGCAGTGCAAAAATTACAGAAAAAAACAAAAAGATAAAAATCAACTGAAAAATGACTTCTGGTGACAAATACCAACCATCTAAATTAAATAGACAGTAAAACTTAAATCTGAAAATTATTATTAAAAAATTGCTGTTTCGGATCAACAATTCAGGTGTTGAGCAAAACTTCTAAAATATTATAAAAAAGAATATAGATTTTCAGTATTTTTAACATTGTGTTAAGTGACCTAAGTGAATGAAAGAATGAATCAAAGGGACTTAAAAAAAAAAAAAAAAAAAAAAAAAAAATTATAACACTGGTAAGAAAACATGAAAACTAGATTCAAAATTTTACATTAAACTCCCTCACCCCCAGTCAAGGTTTTTTGTCAATATTTTTTTTTTTTGAGTCCCTCTTTGTCATCTCACTAAAACTTTAGATGATTTTGGTCAAATGAAACAAAAAGACCTTGCAATAAAGACATTTCTACATTGCTGTATCACTATTTAACACATTAGTAATGGCAAGAGACAATAAAATCTATATTATTCAAAGTAGGCAGTGTAGAGTCCTTTCCCTTATAAATTAACAACTATAATAACTACATGAAGTAAATACATGGGGATTTGGATTTATATATTATAATAAATTTTTTGTTTTAAAAATTATTAGTAACGGAGGAAAACAAAAAATTAATGCTGCACTAAAAACAATTTTTAATGACTTGCATTGTCATAAGTCAAAAGTGGTATAAATATTTAGTTATTTCTTAATTATTTTATTAGCTTTTAAATTTTTTTACATTAAAATGGGAGGTGGATATAAATGTTTGACAGTCAGTTTAAAAGATTTTGGTCATTTAAAATTTGTTGAAGCTGAGGCCACTTTGCTTCAATCATGTAAAAATGTTATCAGGTAAAAAAAAAAAAAAAAGCTTCAATATTAAGATATTTGATTAAGTCTGTCAAGTTCTCTTCAAATGGATAACTCATAAAAGATTTATTTAGACGGCAAGGAAACAGTGTCTAAGTATTATAAAAGAGTATTCATTCAGAAAAGGGTTATCATTTGCAGGGAGGATCTCAAGATCTACTTTTATAAATAGGATAAGTGATTTCAATAAACATTCTTGAGAAAAATAATTTGAAAAATTCTCAATATCAAGCATATGATTTGAAAGATGCACGCATGGAGACACACACACACAGGAGGGGGTGAAAGACAGAGGAGGCGGGGGGTGAAAGAGAGAGGAAATTCATCACCCACAATGGTGTACAGGATAGAAGATAATGGAATTATTACAATCTGAATGATTGAAATCTATGCTCAAATGTGAGGATGAAAATGGTGAACAATATGATAGTAAAGCAGACTCATGGGAAGTAATTGAAACCACCATATTGGAAAATTATTGTGGTTAAATAAAAAATTCAACAAAAACAATGGATAATAGTTTGCTGGCTGTTATTGAGAAGGAAAGGTCACTATATTAAGATGTAAATGGTTGAGAGAAGAAAAAAAAAAAAAAAAAAAAAAACATGTTATTTGTTCTATTATAAGTGTTGATCAAATTTATTACTTTGTTATTGAAGTAAGAAGTTATTTTGTGGTTTTACTTCAGATTGCAGTCTTTATAATAAATCCAATAAAATATGTTGAAACTACTTAAAAATTTAATTTGCTTTATTTTAACATCTAAATTAATCATTTAAAATTTGACAATTTTTCAAGGTTTATGTGATTTGCATAATAACTTGAGGCAGACTGCATGTGATAGAAATAGAATGAAGAACGTTGACAATATACATCATTTTTTGTAGATATCAGTTTTGAGTGAAGGATGTAAATGATAGCTTTTACTCAGATCTCATGTCTATTTTGAGAAAGTCAAGGTGGGTTAAAATAAATATGTTCATTACTACACCAACACAAAAGGCTGCCAGTAATAAAAACAGCAAATTAAAATTAAGAGGAAAGCATTTATTGTTCAGTGAAATGGACCCAAGGAAATTGGTTCACAAGCAGATATAAAAAATGCAAACCTTGCAGACAGAGGTTGAGAACATACCACATGACTGTTGAACATACTTTTCTAACCAATCAGATGCAAGCTAGAAATCCTGTTTCTCTGAAGCACATGTATTGACTTGTACTATAAAATAGCTGGTTCCTTGTAAGAAATGTGTGTGTGTGTATATATATATATATATATATATATATATATATATATAAAAAAGCAAAAGTTGCATTCTTGCTCCTCTTCTCTTTGCACTTTTCTTTTCTGCTATGCTTGAAAAAGCATTCTGACTTTAGTGAAGTAATTGATGTTGAATTCAGAACAAGTGGAGGTTCATACAATCAGTAACGTTTTAAAGCACAATCGAAACTTGGTCTGCATCTGGTAAGCGATCTTCTCTTTGCAGATGCTGCTGCTCTATTAGCATACAGTCTAGAAGACATTCAAACTATCCTTGATAAATT